TTGTGGAAGAGATAAAGCAAACTGCCCAACTGACAGAAGGTAACTGCCCTACCTGTAAGAGATGGCAAATAGAATACACACTTATTTTACAATCCAGGACATCTAGTAACACTTATTTAATGCTTATGTGTCGCCTGAATATCATAATAGGCTTTGAGACCAGCCTGTTGCACCAGCTGTGGCTGTAGTAAATGTCAGGGATTCTCTCCTCCTTCCGCTGCTCTGGATGTCAGATATGGAGAGCTGGACACACTGAGTGTTTCAGTGGTCTGGTCAGAACTGTCCCTTCCCATGGCAGGGCAGTTGGAGTGACATGAAGTTAAAAGTGCCTTTCAAATCAAACCAGTCTTGTTCTGTGTATGTGGTACAATTGCTGGTCCATCTCAGATGTGGTAGAGCTCCATTTGAGCGTGGCCCCATACTTGAAGGGACCAGTTGTAGTGTAATAGCTGGTAATGTTAAAAAATTTGCCTCAAAAGGATTTAGATGTGGATTTAGATTTAGATTTAGAATATAAACACAGAATGACAGAATAGTTAGAGTTGTAAAGGACCTTTAAAGGTCATCTTATTCCAAGCCCTCTGCCATGGGCAGAGACAATTTCCACTAGACCAGGTTGCTCCAAGCCCCATCCAACCTGGTCTCGAATTCTTCCAGGGATGGGGCAGTAACAGCTTCTCTGGGCAACCCATTATTTCTAGATGTGCACTGAACATATGTGACACACTGGTATTTAGAATTCCTTTGTCAACAAAGTGTGGTATTTCTAGATCAGCAGCCTTCTTTGCAGAGGTTGTGGCTGAGCTATTCCAGAGCTGGTAGACACAGTGCATCAATGTGCCCATACCTAAGAATGGCTGTTTCATTATCTGCCTGCAAAGACTCATCTTGGGAGGCATAAAGTAGTCAAGGGGGAAGTCCAATCACCAAGAACAGTGGAGCTGAGTACTCACAGAATTGTTACATCTGCATTCAGACCAGGAAAGCAAGGATGGAGACAAGCAGTCTCATTTTTCACAGTCCAATGAAACTCATTGTTGCATTAAGAGCCCAGCTCTGTTGCAGAAAAGCATTCCCTGACAGCCCACAGGGAATAAAAGGCTTTTCTATGCCTTTGCTGCAGAGATCACAAGGGTTTGGGGGAAAAGCCTGTCACTTCCTACATGTTTATGTTTGCATAATAGATCTGTTAATGAAGTTGCTAGGCAATGTGGTAACAAATACAGTCATGCTGTTTCAGAGCTCACTTCTATATAAACCAGCATTCTACAAGCAGAAGAATGAATAAATCTGGTTTGTGTTCCACCTTTAAAATCCACTCCCTACATCCACGGTACAACAGCTTTCATCCTTTGTCTCTGGTTCTGTAGATGCAATCTGTGGTCTTGCTGGTTTACCCGGCAATCCATGGGGGCTGGTTGTTCAGCTGTCCTGAGAATGAATGAGAAACATGAACTTTACCTCTTTCCCTCAGCTGCAGAGCACCATTTGGATACTCCCCATGTGCCCATTCACTGATCTTGAGGAAAGCTATTGTGATTTTCACCTTTGAGATTTCTACTTCTGCCACAAATACAACGGAAAATAGCTAATGGGTCTTGAAGTCGCCAGTGTGAGAAACGACACTCACTTTTAAAATTTCAAAGGTTTATTAAACCTTAACAAAATACAGAAAACACTGAATAAGGAAAAATTACAGCGCTGGGAGCATGGAACTAAACTGCCACGTGCTCGTCCACAAAATGGCTGCTCCACCTTTCACACTCCTGATGTTGAATCAAGTAACCCCAGCAGCTCCCAAAGTCCATCAGTGAACTCTTCTTTGCCTTCCAATGATGGAGACTCCTTTCTTGCAGTTTGATTTAAGATCAGGTGTTGCCATGCTGTGCCCCCAAGGAACAAGCCTGCCCTCCCACAAATGCCCTGACTACCAAGGCCATCCCGTGACAACAATAAAATGGGAGGGGAAAGAGGAGTATGGGGAGAGCACATCACAATAACATAACTATACATCAATAAAACTTCTTAACATCCACATAATATCAATCTCTTAATTGTGAGAGCCAGCCATTGCATTGCATATACTCATCTATAACACTAGGAAGGAAATCTGAGAGATAGATAGATAGATATGGGCAGAGAGAATTAGTCCACCATTTTATTTATTTCCACATACTGAAAATATATAGTCTACTTTGGAACAAAAGTAGATCCTAGGAAGAAATCTCTTCTGAGGAGTTTAGGATGAGCTTTGAGTCTGTCATTCTGGCTCGATTTGAGGCAATTTAAAGGATAATGCTCTGGAATGAGTTGTCTCCTGTTATAGGTTCTAACAATCCAGTAAGAAACAAAGATGAGTAGATAACTGAAAAATAATAGTTTACTAACAAGCAGCAACAGGGAAAAATAACAAATGCATTTGTGAAAAATGCCAATAACTTGTTTATAAAATTTTAAAAGTTTAATAATAATAAAATGGTTATAAAATAGTAATATGAGAAATAAAATTTGAACAATTGATATTAGGACAATACGAGACAATAAAAATAAAGAGTTACGGACAGTCCAGGTACCTTTTTCTGGGCAGCACAAGCCCGAAAAAGGACACACGTTAACAGAGGATTAACCCTTAAAAACATCAGCCTGTTGCATATTCATACATCTCATACATGATGCATAAATTCCATTCAAACAAAGGATTCTGTGTGGTCAGTGTTAACTTCTTCCTGTTAATCCTAATGGCATCTTCAGAAGACACCTGAGCCAAGGCAGGAAGAAGTTAATTTCTCCTGATAATGGAGCAATAAATTCTCTTTCTCTGAAAGATTTAGGTGTCCTGTGGCTGCTATCTCGGTGGGAGTCCTCTTTTTAAAAAAAGTATCTTACATACATAGTTTCTATTTTAACATTATGTTATAACCCCAAACTATATTTAACACACTACTTTAAAAAATTGATATAACACAACTTTCTAACATAACATATAATAATCATTTTAATATTTGTGAAAAGCCAATCATAAAAATATGCATTTTTGACAGATTAAAAATTTCTAAATCTAGTGCACTGCCCCCAGAACGAAAAGACCAGACACACACACACGCACACAAAGATGGTGCTCTGCAGTGGAGCGTGTGATTCGAAGGACAAAGGGAAAGGTGGTGTTACTCTTTCCCCCACCCCCCTGCTCTGCTCCCTGACAACGAGAGCTCCTACTTGGAATTCGTGGATGCACTTTGCTTTCCTTGCAGCAAGAGACGACAGGGCAGGCAAGGCAAGGGTGGCCGGGCTGGGTTTTCTGTCCTCAGCCAGGACAACAGATGACCTTTCTCAGCCCTAGCATCCCTACCTGAGCATCCTCTGATGACATGCACATGTCCATCCTTAAGCTTTCCTGATCCTCTGAACTCAATACAGTCGCTTATTTTCATAGAAGTAAACCCAAATATCTCCATTCCCGTTTGACAAGTTTGGTTGAAGCTGATTAAGGTGTTCAAAAGTATTAGGGGAAGGGATTGACTGGCAGCCCCCTTACAGAGGTACTTTCCCTAGTGTTGAGGGTTAGGTTTTCCTTTTTTTTCTTCAGGGAATTTTCCTCCATTTGTTGTCATAGAGATGGTGAATGGACCTTGATTTGAAAGACAAAAGATGCAGCCACGGCCTTGGCATATTATTGGAATGGCTCTGGGGGAGGGGGAGAAGCAGTGTGGTGGTCGGGAGTTGCTTTATCTGGAGATGGTTCGGTGTTTGCCGGTTATGGGTTTTGGTGCTGGACTTCTCCTTGTTAGGAAAATCAACCCACAAAACACCAGAGGTTTGTGTCCAAAAAGGAGACAGAGCAGTCCTTCCTGGCTCTATTTGAATAAAAGGAGAGGCCATGGGGCATTCCCCTGGGATCTCTCGAATTTTTGGAGGACGCAGCCTCCTTTTTATCCTGATTTCCTGGGCACATTTCCCTTCTCTCTTTCCCCATTGGCTGAGGTGCTGGAGAGGTACAGACTTCCCGGGAATGCCTGATACCAGAGATTTCCCTCTAATGTATAACCCTCCCTTTTAACTTTAAATTCTTACGGAATTTAGGTGTTTTTCTTCCCCATCGTTTCTTTCATCTCTCAATGTCTAATTTCATTTATCAGCAAACATAAAGTTTATTTGTAAAGGCAAATATCTTTTTCCATTCATCAATCAGTGGAACCCTTCCCATTATTTATCTCCCAGTGCTAGTTTTACCTACCAGCAGACCCACAGCTTGTTTGTAAAGACAAATCCATCATTCCTCTCATCCTGCCCAGGGGTACTCTCTGCTACCACTGAGCCTTCCTTGCCATTGCTCCTTGTCTTTGGTGGGCCACTGCCCTCAGGAGTGACTGTTGGACTGGGACTTTTCAGTACCTGCCATTGCTGGGAGAAAGCTCCTCACCACCTGGAATAAATAGGGCAGGAGATCTTTCTCCTTTTCAATGCCTTTATTAAAAATCAGCTTGGGTGGGGAGACTCGACAGGTCACACACACGCCGCAGCTGCTCCCAGGGGTGGCACGGAGGAGGAGGAGGAGGAGGAAGAGTGCAGCTGTGTCCGCTTGTCTGCGGGCAGAGCTGAGGCTTCCATCCTCACGAGAGCACCTGGAGATTCCTGGTTCTTCAGTTTGACGTTCAAGGTCCTTGGAATCCAGGGTCTTAGCAGACACCGCTAATTTTCTGTCTAACAGGTGCAATGTAGGTGAGATCATAACAATTTCTACTTACAGCCATGGCTAAGGGGTGCCCAGGACTACTGACTTTAACAGACTACATTTCATTTGAATTTCTCATAATGTGTCAATAGGTTTTGGATGAGGTAAAAAATGAATTGTTGGGAGACAGTTTCTATGTTAATCTGATTGGATGGAGGCAAAATCCTTTGCACATAGACTTGGTTGATCAATGCAGGACTCCATTCCCATGTTACCATTGCTCTCCTGTTAGTTTAATTCCTGAACTCTTTTCCTTTTTGATCTGTAGAAACGAGTTCAGACCCTGGATAGATGTCAAGCCCGCGAAAGCGATAAAAGCAAAGCCCCAGTACAAGCCACCAGAGGAGAAAATGATCCATGAAACCAGTTACAGTGCTCAGTTCAAGGGGGAAACCAGTAAGCCTTCTCCAGCTGATAACAAATACCTGGAGCGCAGAAGGATACGCACTCTCTACTGTGAACCCTACAAAGAACCTCCAAAGGTGAGAAACACGGCAGAAGGGACCCAGGGCCATCACTGCTCCTGGTGGGACATGTCCAAGGCAGTCAGGCTGGGCTGAACACTGCTTGCTGTCACTCCCCTTGTGTGGGATCCTTATTCCAGCCAGCATCTTGGGATCCACCTTGGAGATGGTGGTGAATAAAAAGCTAAACATGTCCCAGCCATGTGTGCTGCCAGCCCAAAATGCCAACAGGGTCCTGGGTTGATCCCACAGCATGGACAGGGGGGTCAGGGAGGGGATTCTGCCCCAGCTCTGAGGTCCTCAGCATGGGAAGGACATGGATGTGTTGGACTGAGTCCAGAAGAGGCCATGGAGATGCTCCAAGAGATGGAGCACCTCTGTTGTGGACACAGGCTTGGGAAAGCTGAGGATGTTTATTTAGCCTGCAGAAGAGAAGGCTCTGGTGAGACCTCAGAGCCCCTGTCAGTGCCAAACAGCACTCCAGGAGAGCTGGAGAGGGACTTTGGACGAGGGCCTGGAGGGACAGGACAGTGGAGAATGGCTCCACACTGCCAGAGGGCAGGGCTAGAAGCGATATTGGAAAGAAATTCTTGGCTGTGTGGGTGGTGAGGCCCTGTGGCTGCCCCATGCCTGGAAGTGCCCAGTGCCAGGTTTGAAGGGGCTTGGGGCAACCAGGTGTAGTAGAAGATGTCCCAGCCTATGCAGGGAGTAGGGAATGAGGTGTTCTTTAAGGACTCTTCCAACCCAAACTGTTCTATAGATCTATGGGCTCTGGAACAGCTTGAGGCACTTTGGAGACAACAGTGCCCTACATCAAGTGAGAGTAGGGCTGAGATGAAGAGGTTTTTCTATTGTCACTTCCTATGTAATTATCCTGGCAGCTTTTTCTTCCTCCCTCCAAAACTTTAGGAGCCCCACATTACATTTTATGCTGGGAGCCAGACACCTGCCTTTAATTCAGAGCATTACACAGATTTTGACAGTCTGCACTTCTGGCTTTGATGAGATCGACAACATGTGTTGAGAAGGGCCTGAGCTGGAATGTTTTCCAGCCTTGTTTTCTAGGACCAGCAGAGGATCTGCATATTAAAGGAGTCAGTCTGTGAAGTTTTAAACAGAGGACCATAAGTTGTTCCCTAAGTTGATGAGTTCATAGATCTGTGAGGACTGAGAGGGATTGCAGGGCGAGCATGTAGGAGATGAAGACTTCTGTTCTCCCTTAGTTTTTGTAACTGTCCTTCCTATTTTGGGGGCATAGAAACAAGATGTTGTGGAATTTTCCCATGTGCCAGTTAGTGTTCTGCACCTCAGGTATCCCAAGATAATTTTCCTCCATTCTGGGAATCTGTTAAGGACAAACAAACAGAGGAGTCGTCTCCTGCAAGAAAGAAGGAGACTTGTAGCAGCCTCTTTGCCCTGAGCATCATTTCTCTGCTTCTAGAGAGACAATCCTCTGTGGGTTTGCAAAATCCCTCCTGAAGTCAGACAAAGATGCAGAAATTGATAAAATTACTGATAATATTCCCTCTCCTGTTCACCCTGCTCTATCCTGATCTGGATACAATGGGCTCTGCTGGCTCTAGGGGCACTGACTTCAGGACATCCTGAAAGGAGCTGGCCATTTGCCACTCAGCATGAGCTCAGCTGGTCCCCTGCCTTTGTGGCAGCGCAGAGATGAGCAGATAAGTAAAATTTGTGCTGCTTCAGATCTGAATCCTGTTTTCTGCTTGTCCTTGTGTCTCTCCTCTCTTTCTTTCTCTCTCTCTCTCTCTCTCCCTTTCTCCATGTCTATGTCGTTGTTTTGCCTGTCGCTCTCCATGCAGGTGGAAAAGCCTAGCACAAAGCCTTCCAAACCAAAAAAGACCACAACAAGCCATAAACCCTTGAAAAAGGCCAAAGACAAGCAGATTGCATCTGGCCGGGCTGCCAAGAAAAAGAGCGCCGAGACCTCCAACACTGCAAAGCCAGAAGATAAGGAGAAAAGTAAAGAGATGAACAATAAACTGGCTGAGGCAAAAGAGTAAATGTCACTGCACTTTCTTTCTCATTTTTTTCCTTTTCTTTCTTTCTTCCTTCCTTTTTTATTTTTTTCCCTTTGATTAAATAAAGGCCACAAAATTAATTAGAGGCTTCTAATCTGCTTTTTGTTCTGATTGTATTAGAAGCTTTTCTGTTTTATTTCCAAGGAGGATTAGGAAATCCTTGTTTCTGAGGTCAGGTTGTTCTGCTTTGCCTGCACGGCTCTGCACAGAGTGAGGGATGTGAGAATGTATGAGCAGGGTCCTGAGAGATGAAGGTGATGGATCAACAGTGATTACATCCAACAGCTTGTCCCTTTCCTTGGGCTTGGTTCTTCAGTGCTTTGACAGCATGGAAGTGCCCATTGAGCCAAGGAGGGCCTGTGCTCTCATCCCATGAGGCCCTTTTGGGTTGGCCATTGTTGTGTCATCTCCCACTGGTGTCACCTGGCAAAGGGGTTTGGAGGCAGAGAGGATCAGGTTCATTCCTGGTGCCATGGATATGCTGTAAATGCACCAAAATCAATGGTGTCACCAAGAATGATTCCCCCTTTTGACACTGACGGGAATTCTGCTCCAAGAAGCAACAGGAAAGGAGATCCCATGGAAGTAAAGGGCCAAATCCTCCCCAAGGGTAGGTGGGAGTACATCTAGCTGCATCAAGGCAACTTCATTCATCAATACCACTTGAAGTCCTTGATTTAAAAAAAAAAAAAAATTGGTGAGGGAAGGTGCAGTGAGCAGTGAAGACTTTCCAGTCACATGGCAGGTTAGACTAGGTTGTCAGCAGATTGTTCTTCCCTATTGTTTCCCCTAAGTTATGGGTCTTATTAATTATTCCTGTTTTGCTTTGAATCTTGATCTGCTTTCTTCACTTCTGGGATGCTAATAGGCAGAGCTAGTTTTCAGAAAGTGGTTTAGTTTGCAGGCATGACCTTCCAAAGGGTAGAAAGAAATGTGTCACCAAGGTTGGCTAGAGCTGTCAGCCCCCGTTGTGTCTATTCTTCCAACTGTTTATGTTCATGTTGGCTCATGGGCAACTCAAGAGGGCCATAAAAAAAGTTTCTGGGATGCCTAGACTCCCTCCAGACAAGATCTCAGGGTTTCAGTCCTATTTACTGTGCTCTTACACTAGGAAATCCCCAGGACCAGTTTGGAAGCCCAAAACACAGCAGGACCATTTGTCAGCAAGTATGAACTGGCCCGACAGAAGGGCATTGCATGCCAGAGAATCTGGGTCACTGGATCAGTGGGAGAGTTGTGGTCCCAATCCAAATTTATGTGCCTAACTTCTGGATTGGGTCCTAAATACATAAGGATTAATTTTTGTCCCACTAAACTGAGCTGTTAGACTCTCCCATAGCAGAGTGGCTGCAAATTAAGGTGCAGGGTTCTCGTTCCTTATTTTTCAGCTCCAAATTTTCTCTCCTAATGTGAAGTCCAGCTTGAAACTTCCAGTGGACAATTGGGAAGCATGAAGACGGAGATGGGAAGTAGAGTGGAGAGGTGGTGTGTTGCTGTAGAGGTGGTGAAATAAGGAAAGTCTTATTGCTAGGGGTATTTTAGACATGTGAAGCTATCTAGCAGAAAAATGGATGGGTTGGGAGGGTGAGGAGTCCCTTTTTTGGGATTTCATCCATTAGAATTAGTCTTTTGGAAACATAAATGAGTGGTGGGCTACAAGGCTGAGTGAAATGTTCTAATGAGGAGGAAAGCTCTGTGATATACAGATAGTGACATTTGCTGGCCTTAGTAATGAATAAATGCCAAGTTCAGTGTATCATGTGATGTGTCCTGTTTGCCTTGCGCTAACAGCCTAAACCTTTGAGTATCAGTAAATGTAGTGTTCTGAATTCAGTGGTGTAATCCCCAGCTTAGCTGTGTTAGAACTGTGTGCTATGAGCTAGTCAGGTTGTGTATGTGGAAAATATATATTCATATATAGAAATATATATATATATTTAAACCTCTGCTGTTTAGGAGGAAACCAGGGAAAATCCTCCAGGAAGTAAAACTGTGGAAATCTTTGTGAATGTAGTGCTTTTTTTCTTTGCCTTTTTTTTTTTTTTAATTTTTTTTTTAATGTGCATGCCTCATGGAGATGCTGACCTGTCCATATTGATCATTGCTTTCCTGAGTGCTCAGAAGCCCCTGCAGCACTGCTCAGCTCCATGCCCAGAGCAGCTTGGCACAAGGCTTGTGTTGAGCTCATGGGGAGGCATGCTGCCATGCTGCTCACAGCTCCTCCAACCTGTCACATAAGGGACAACTGGCCAGAGAAGAGCAGCTCCCAAGACTTGGTGTGATTCCTTGGCTTTTAAGATGCTTCATGTATTGTCACACTCCTCAGTAATGTCCTTTCCTACGGGATGTAGCATAAGCTGTGAGGATGATACATCACAGCAGGCAGAACACATCAGGAAGGCACTAGACAGTTCAAATGGCTCAACACACCAATCTTACATAAGGACAGACCATGCAAAACAATTCTTCCTATTATTTTTCAGCCCTAAGTTTCACATTTAAAGGTACACCACACTTGCTACCATTTCACCTGGAATTCAATGAGAATTTAGCCCTTGACTTCAAGGTGAACTAAATTTTGTCCAAGGAACATCACTAAGATGCTCAGACTACCTCATCCAGGCATCTCCATGGCTCTGGATGAACTGCTGATTATCCAACTTGGGATGGTTTCTTCTTAATGAAGAGCATCTATCACAGTGTTTGAAACATACACAGTGAGTGGTCAAAATATAGCTTTCTGTTTCCATGATACATGAAGTCTTTTGGTGGCAGAGGGCTTGGAACTAGAAGGTCCCTTTCAACCCAAGCCATTCCATGATCTCACTACAAAGCTAGGCATGAAGTGTTAGCCAGTGGTTTTAATTCCCTCTATAGTGAAGGAACTTTCCAGGGACCATTGAGCTGCCTGCTTTTGACACCTGTCTTTGGGTGGAATGAATGGTCCTTGAAAGGTTTTCTTTGCAGAAAGATCCTGGGAGACTGGTAAGGCCTGGATACCTTCCTCTCACATCATCAAAACAGGAACAGAAATCCTGGCTTGTGTTCCATATGCACCACATCTGCAGCATGCATCCAAGCACACACACACCCAAGCACATGGGCTGGCACTGCGCTGAATACCAGGAACTACAGCAGAGGCAAGCCTCAGGGTGAAATCCTGCATTGCTGTACCTTCCACAGACTCTGTGCCCATCTAACCCACTCAGGTTTATCAGAAAGGAGACCAAATCTCTGCCATTTCAAATTCACTTTGGGCTCTGAACTTGTCAATCCCACTGGGAAACAGTGCTCTGCTCTTCTGTGTTTCCAGCTACCACAATGCTGATTCTGTTCCACTGCTGATTTGTAATATGTTTTACTTTTCTTGTAAAAAGGAAAAAAGAAATGTTTTGCTTTTTACCCTGTGAGAATTCCTGTGCTATTGCTTGCTTTCACATTTTCACTGTATTGTACTGTTACTCCTTTCTGCAAAATGGTGCTAATTGCTGACTGAGCTCCTGTTTTCTGACTGCTTTGCACACTGATCACTTGCTTCTTCATTTGCAGCACAGCCGGTGCCAAAACCTGGTGCCCATGCATTCCACAACCTCTTGCCTCTTGGAGGCAGATAGGAAGTGTCTAATTAATATTTTGTGGCCTGGGTTTGGTTGCGTATCACAAATTGTCTCTTGTAAACATGTTAAGCACACCTCCTTGTGGTGCTTTTTCATTGTTGATATTCTGATGAGAGTCTCACACACACACACACACACACACACACACACACACACACACACACACAAACACACACACGTTAATGTACCGCCAATTGATTGTGATGTGCTTGTGATCTTTGCTTGCTCAAAGGGTTTTTTTCCAATGATAAATAAATGCTGAAGATAAATACCTCCTCCTTGATCTTGTTTTCTCAATCAGAAGCACAGTTAAGTGGAAGAAATGTCTGTCCAAACGAGGTTGTGTTGCCTAGAGTTGCCACTTTGATGCCTGCTGTGGGGACAGCTGGGCTGGCACAGTCTGACTCCTTTAGGTGGCTGCTAATCTCAGACCAGTCTGGCATGAGCTGGAAGTGTTTGCAAATGCAAAGATGGACAGTGAAGTCATGTGGATGGCCCAAATTTTCTTTTGTTTTCTATAAAAAATATCTTTGAGTGGAGAGTCTGTGCAGTGCCTTGCTCATGTCCACCTTGTCCTGGCTCAGGGAGCAGAGACCAAATCCCATTGAGAGCTGGAGGGAGGGTGGATGATGTGTATTTACCAATGTTAATTACACTTTTTTCAACTGCCTACAGCTTTTATTTCCTCCCTAAACCAAACCTGGAAAACTTGATCTACTGGAAGGTGTCTCTTCCTGTGGTAGGGGGTTTGGAACTAGATGGTCTCTAAGGTCCCTTACAATCCAAACTATTCCATGATTCTATGATTTTGGAACCTCTCCTCCACCTCCTCCTCCTCTCTGTTGACATCCATTGGCCACCAAACCTCTTCTACCTTCCTGTTGCTAAGGGTGCTATTTCACATCCCTGCCTTGTTTACAAATCACTTTCTGAACTTATTCCATTTGTGACCACATGCTAGTAACAGTGCTGCTTTCTGATATCCTCTGTATCACCCTGCCTTCCCCACCATTTCCATCCATTCATGAATCACACCTATCTATAGGATTTTTGGAGTGTTTCAGCTGGGATGTAGGTTGCAGGATTTACCATTTCACTCTGAACAGCTGGTAGTGGAGAAAATGCTCATTTCTAAAGGATTGGTTACTACTGGGGCTTATCTGTGACAATCCACGATGGGCAACAAAGTCCTTCTCCCATGACACACAGGCACAGGGTCTTTCCCATGCTGCAGTCTTCATAGGTAATCCATCTCCTCCCTGCAGCTGCCCAAAGTGAGTGCTGGAAAACACCTTCGCTGCCCTGTTGATATCTGAACTCACTCAGCCTTGCAAAGCCCAAATGCAGAATGGGGCGCAGGA